CTACCCAAGTTGTTATTTTCTATTGCCTTTGTTGTATAGATAAATGCTTATTGTATAGTATTTGTTGCTTTTAGATGCACTTGGCTAGAAGTGCTCACAACAATAAAAAAAAAGGTTAACCAAGGAATATTCCGTTATTCAGAAGACATATCTACACTAAGAACAAGTGCACTAAGAGCCTGTTTAAAGGTAAAAACCTAACTGCCAATCCAGTGTGTTGAATCAGTAGAAAAGACTGTGAGAATAGGCACTTATAGTTGTTAATGTGCAGGAACTCTGAGATCGACCATCCTCCCCCAATGATTATCGTTTTCCCCAAGCTCTGCAAAGCCTGCATCAAGTTGGCTGGCAGCCCTCTGCCAGGGGCTTTGGCCAATATTGAGGATTAAAACCCTGCAAGTCTATAAATACACCTAGCAGACCAACGTCAGCACCCAGCCAGCTATTGGACTCACCTCTCACTGCTGGATGGCTGGCATGTGTTTTTTTTCTTTTCTGCTTATCACTTGCTTCTACTTTCTGCCTCTGTCTTTCAGTTTCTCAGACTCTCAATGCTCTCTCTCTTTGTGTTCCTATTTTCCCCTCCAACTCCCTCTCTCAGTTTGTCTCTCACTCTTCTGTGTCTTTCACTCTATCCCTCTCATACTCTCTCGCTTGGCAGGGCCTCTTAATTGGAAACAAGCTGTGAGAAGGCTTTCAGTTTGAGGTTAAAACTGCATCTGACCTGCCTCCTGCTGTATCTTTTCTTCTCTCTTTTGGCTGTATCACAGGCTTGTGCACAGTGGCTGAGAGCAGATGTATGAAGGACGTAGTGTGGTGGAAGCAGAAAGTTGACTCTTCCCACAGGCTGGAAAAAGCAGGGACATGACAGGTAACCAAGCCAAATGGAGAACATATAACTTGGCATTTTTAGTCTGAACAGTATACCCAGCTGAAATAAGATATGTATAATCAAGTAGCCGAGAGAGACTGATTAATCACACCTTAGGGCTTACACATTCCTTTTTGCGAACCCCAGTTCTTTTTACAATGCAAGACATGCATCAGGTCTCCTGACATAGCCTTTTCCATGGCCATCAGCTGGTTCCTTGTAATTTTCATGTGCAAGCAAATCTCATCACATGTACAGTCCAGAACAGCAAGAAGCTCAAGAACCCACCCAAAAATAACACTTCTTGGACCAGAAAGCTCTTAGCTCGCTGACTAGTCCCAGTTCTTTTTCACCATTAACAGAAAACCAAAGAGCCATATGGAAATATGAGTGACGGAAGACTTAGGCTAGTTAACCGCAGCTGTTAAACAACAAAATTATTATCACAAGACTAAAAAAAAATTCAGTGAAATTGCAACCAAGAAAATAAAATCATACAGTATAGAATGCAATGCCCTTCTCAGATATAATCAAATTTTCCCTTCAAACAGGCAACATACAGAGTACATGTCCATACAGCGTACATCAAAATCCCCATATACATACCAAGCAAACATCTGGAGCATAAAGTCTCAACTATTACACAAAAATGACATGGCCATTACATGGTAATTATAGTGAGAGGCTGCATTCAGTCTGTCACAACTTCCTTGTTGTCAGTGGGAGAGGATAAGAGGGATTTGTTGCACAAAAGGCCACAGCCAGGCACAGAAACTATTACTTCCACCCAGTTAGACCACAGACTGCACTGTCTGACCCATAGGGCTGTGTAACAGGACAGTACAACTGAGTCACAATCAAACATGTCAACCTGCACAGAGAATCTGAGGATTGTGATCTGTGCTTTATGCAAGTAAGATGACTCTGTAGGAAATAAGCATAAATATGGCACAACTACAGCTGTTAAAATATGACACAATTACAAATTGGCCAATGTCTTAACCCGAGTCTAAATCTGTCTGACGAACAGCTGCCTTATCCAGGGAGATTCAGCTCAGCTCAGCTCAGTTAATATATTCCCTATTTGCAACACGCTACAAGCTGCTTACTTCAGCCAGTGTGTTGTTTACAGCACAGTATAAGTCAGAGACACTTTTCATTTGAAAAGTTGAATCATGACCCAAAAACAAATATTGATCTCCTTGGCAACTGCCTTCCTTGACTACCACCCCACCCACATCTTAGCCCCTCCAAGTCTCACTCTCTTGGAAAGTCGTGCACAGCTGGGTGCCAGGACAGGGATATAGAGCAGGTCTGGGTATGATTACAGCTGAAAATGATTCAGCTTCTGGGGACTGATGAATCAATCATGTCAGACCTAATGTTAACTATTTGGATTCACCCCCAAAAAAGGCTAACCCTGGCGCAACTACTGGTGAATATTGGCCAGAAAGCAATTAACAAATAAAGACCAATAAAGCAAGAAAACCAAGAAATAATGTTCTTAAAAAAATAATCCACAGTGTGCACAGATCAAATCTACATGCACCTACACCTCAGTGCTAAACATCTTCTGGAGGACCATTCAAAGTGATTACACTTTATATTATGGGACCCACACCATCCGGAGCATCCTTTAATTATCCTCCACAGCAGATAAAATAATATGATACTTTGGCATCAACATTGTACCCAGGCAATCATGCCAGGTGATCTATGAAAATACTGAATTCAAGGCTTAACATCATGTTTGATAGATTTCATATCAGCCTGTCACAACATTTAAACAGAACAGGTATGAAACCTCCTCTGAAAGTGAGAAGAGAGTGGGTAATTATTTCACACACAAAAATAAAAAAGATAGTGAACTGCAAAAAAAAAAAGAGTCCAGACAGCCTAAAACTGTATTCTGTAAAATCACTGTGCACTTGAAGATATTTTTACCAGATCCTCTCCAAACAAACTTCTTATAAAAAATGTATATCTTGCTTCCTCTATGTGCACAAACCATTGGATGTTTGTATGATGAAAACTTTGCATTTTCATTTCAAGATTTGAGATCCAAACCATTTCAGAATGTGTCATAATGTGAGTGCGACCTGCAAGTCCATACATTCAAGCACAATAAAAGTCACAGATGGGCTCAGATGAAGAAGATTGTCAAGCTTTCTGTTTGAAACTGTATGTAATATATATCCTCACTATTAAAGTGCAAGAACTTTTGGTAACCATATCAGTTTTACCAGTATAAAGACTTTCAATGTTGGGGCAAAGGGAGAAGGTGAGGCTGGAAAGAGTAAGTACATTTTATATAATTTAACAGGAATTCGACAGTGGACTGGGGATCAAGCCAAAGTCTGTTGACTGATAGTGTTGTGGCTTACTGAGGATGTTCTGACTGAGAACCACTGAACATTCTGTAGCCATGCAATGAAGCTAAGCTGGTGAGGGCTAGTGAGATACCCAAAGCCTGTTTCTCCCCCTATGCTACTTAATGACAGGAGGATTATTCTTTCCTTTGGGTTATGGCTCTGATGCCACCCATCTCACTGTGTGAAATCACTCCCTGGCAGCACTTGGCAGCGAGCAGTCAGCTGGCAGAAAGAGGCAGAGAGTGAGAAGATAGCTCATGTCTTAAGAGTGATATGGAGAATGTTCTTCTGCTGAGCCAATGAATGAACCCCATAAGCTGACACTTACCTGCACAGGCACACATGAACATGAGGGGATCGATGCTAAGAAACACATCATGATATGAAAATACAGCTCAAAGTTTAATGGACAAGAAGAAAACAACTCCCCCTCATTTTCACTGCAATACATGTGTCATAGCTGATCCCTTAACATACTATGTAACATACTATGAAATGGTCTGTCCGTACAACTGACAACATCATGGTAAAGACACAACATGGGGGTCAATCACTTCAGGCCCCCAAACAACGAAGGGGTCACGCAGGACACGGTTTGGGGCCAGGGCATTCCTGGCTGATGCAGTTGGGTTTGTCTGGGAAATGACTGAGCAAACAGGGGCCAGAGTGGCTTCCCCTTACTGGCACCAGCGCTTTGTCCCCGCTAATCCACTCCAAAGAGCCACAGTCAAACACCCAGCGCCATACAGTCACCAGTAACAACACAGCACAGTCTGGGGGGACATGAAATGAATCCCACTAGCCAAAGCAGGGAGACAGACGCCAGTTTGCTCATCAGATTTGGGCACAGAAAGCAGTATGGCTTATCTGTAGGACTGGGTGGTGATCACAGAGCAACTTTTTGAGGCAATGGGGCTGTGCAATATTGCTTTCAGCTGGCATGGCGTCAAGCTCCTCATCTATTTGCTCATAAATCCTGTGCATCATGATAACTGGTAGCAGAGTGTGTACATTTTTACATTGAGTGAGTCAGAACTCGTAATAAACCGACAGGAAGAAAGGTGGAGATGTCGAGAGCAAAAGAAGCATGGTTATTCACTGGTGAATCGCAGGTATTTAGGTACAGTTAGGGATATCAATTGAATTACTTAAATACAGCAGCTCTTTGTGGCTGACATTAAAGCTAATCTACTTATCTGTGCCTTGTGATGTGTAGTTTGGTAAATAAAGTCATATGATATGAAGACTAGTGAAGAGTAACAAATGTTGATGTTTTATGATGTTCTTGTTTGTGTTTCTATTGCTGTTGAGTGAAACAATAGTGCAAAATGAACTGGAATCAAATATGGGCACAACAGGATTTTGACAGCCTGTGTTGTGTTTAGGAATACTATCTTCACACTTCCTCATGTTTGGGAAGCATAATGATAAATTATGTACATGACATCCCAGACTTAAGGCTCTAGATCCCAATCATAGCAACGCTTATATTTATACATCCCTGAACAATAGCAAGAAATAAAAAATATATATATTTAAACAACATGGGAAAAATACCAATAAAAGCCATAATTTGAGGAAAATGGGAAATATTAATTGTAATACGTTTTGCTGAGAGATGAACACAATCAGACCCGGTTTAATATACTAGTGAGTATACAAAATGAAGAGACAAGATGGAGTGCAAAAACAGAAATCAACTTATACCCCATACAGCTACTTTGCAGTATGAATGACTGTAGTTGGGTGGTACTTACTTGTCATATTCTGCGTTGTCTTTATCACAGCGTGCATCCTTGTGCTTCTGCCAGTCTTTCCCATGCTTACAGGTGGTGAGGAGGACGACATCCTCTGAGTTATGAACATGATATAAAGCGTTCCTAGTGTCTGAACCTATTCCAGTTAGGTACCTCTTCCCCTTAAAAACAAGCATGTACTTCCTATAAGGGGGAATGGTGTTATGTTTCAGGTAGCCTCTTTCCCCTCCTGTCCTAGGGTGGTCTTTAGAGAAAAGAGGAATAGAAACGTCAAAGTTAGGCCGAAAGTTCTCTGTGCTGATGCTGGCCTTAGCCAACATAGCAAGACCGATGTCGAAGCCAAGGTCTTCCGTGTAGTCTGGCCAGGTGCCGGAGTATAAGTTGAAGATGATGTGGTTTTTGCCCCCATTCCACAAAGGAAGGCTCTGGATTTTTGCTTTCAGGTTGTGCACATACTGCGGTGAAAGCTGGTCCCGGTCCAGTGTGTCCAGACTCAGGACAAACAGACATGCCTGTCCTGGGTCAGGTGTATAGAACCTGGACCCTTCAATAGAGGACAATATGTTCTGATAACTCTCTGACATCTTTTCCCCTTTCTGCTGGGGGTAGACGTAAACTTTAAATCCATTCCTCTCACACAGGGAGAAATCAAAACAGGACTCCATTCTGCAGCGTTTTCCAGTGTAAACGCCTGAGTTAGCGTCCCTCTTCTGCCTAGGAGATATGTGTTCATTGTGATCATCGCGCCGATCTTGCTCCCAGGAGCTGAAGGGCTGCAGGTACCCCGGGAAGCGACGCCACCGAGCCCCGGGGTGATACCCGGTGAGGCTGCGGTCATCACGCCGACTGGGTCCACGTCTGGATAGCGGGACTTGTATCCCCCCAAAACAAAACAACAGAATGACACACGCACCGGCGGAGAACAGAATTAAGTACCGTTTTTTGGCCTGCATGTGTCCTACGATCTGAGATAAGATGTCTGGCGATAAATCCAAGAAGTCCCCAAGTTTTGGTTTCACCACCTCTTGCGGGAACGCTCCGCCATCTTCCCCCGGGCTGCAAGGGTTGTGCGCTCACGTCTCCCACCTTCTGCTTCAGATGCCTTTCACAAGTCCGGGAACTGATCCAACGCATGTGGGCGATTTATAATGTTCATCCACCTCGTCTCCCCGTCAATAGTTGTATCGATTAACTGACAACAGGTTCTCCTATGCAACAGAGTGCCTCAATCTGGGCATCTAAAGTGGCACCCTACTTTCCTTTGTATAACGCTACCTTTACTTTGCCCTAAACGTTCATTATAACACAGAGCATTACTTTGTAGCTAACCAGAGCCACACAGTAACTAATAACATCACTGCACAAAATGAGTACAAACTTGAGCCTGTTTAGCAGCAGTGTGTACTAGACTTGTTGCCTGGACAGTCAACTATTGTCCCTGCTGGAAATTAGCTACCAAGCGGGCACCGGAGCCCTAAACATTCAGCATATTGCCTCTATTGCTGCCGCATTTATTTCACTAAACGATAAAGATAAAAGTATCATTATGGCTGTTTGCTAAATTTATATAGCGAATTTCTACAGCCGATTTAGCTAGCCAGCAAGCTAACTACCTGGCTAGTTTCTGAAAACATTCCCAGTTAGCTTGTTAGCTAAGCGGTCGCATCAAAGTAGCTTTAACGTTGCTTGGAAGTAAAGACAGCCAGGCAGCCTCTACTCCCCGTCTACGACCATGTTCCTTCATTCATCCACAACTTATCTGTCGCACTCCCGACGAAACCGACAGGCTAATTTCTCCGTAAATGTCTCCAGTCGCGTAAAGTGTTCAAGCGGTGGCTCACACACATATACAAGAACAAGAGGTGCTGTAGAGACTGCAAGCCAAGCAGAGCAGAGCAGAGCGGCACGGCAGTCCCACCAGGACGACTGCTGATGATGATGTGACGTTTTTCCACGGCGCACGGTGCGTTATCATTGGCTCCCATTACATCCGAGGCGGGCGGGGCTTCCAGTGCACCCATTCACATCCAGGGAGAACCGAGCAGGGAAGTAAGGACGGAGAGTTCCTGCACAGATTGTGCCACAGAGGACTGTGAGCTGAGATTTGTGGTTTACCTGTTGAACCATATCAGACCATATGAGAAGTTAAGAGGTAAACTCCCATGGAGAATTCTTTGACAGTCCAAGATAGTTAAATGGGGAAACATCAGAAGCAGGCTTCAAAGAACAAAATAACTATTACAGCACAGTAAAATACAAAATAATTTCACTCCACTCATTTAGCCATTTAGCTTGTTCTGGAGTTTTTGATCATTACACATGATGTTCATTAGCAGATTGAGTCTGCCCAGTTGTCACTTGTAAACTGTAGATATTACTTTCTTTTTTTTCTGAGCACTTCAAGGACTTGTCATGCATGTTGACTGTATAAGGTAGGCTAACTATTATTTACAAATAATTCAACAAATAGTGTAAATTAAATCCCTCTTGGACTATTAGAATAGAATAGTAATATTACAATATAATAGTAATATAACAACAAATCATATTATCCGCATACAAAGGATTGTTTTGTACAAGCCCGAGCAAAACTCACATCATGATCATTTTTATATTTTTTCTGTGAAAATTAAATGCAAAAATGACCATTCCAACTGAAATTGTACTCATATCACAATCGCAATGTCTGCCACAATAATCGCAATATGAGTTTTTGGGGGTACTGTTTCTTCATATATGATCAGTGGGTTTATAGTCAAGAAATCAAGGTCTATGGCAAGAACCAAAATCAACACAGCAGCCTTATCACTCTGAATTGCACTTCACTGGAGAAAGACTGACAAAGGTGTTGTGTATAATGACTCAGCATGGATGATTTTGTCTAACGCATCATCCTGTATTCCAGTGTTTCTTGTTTAGACAGACAACTATTAGCAGTTGCAGCATTGCCCATTACTATATGTTTACCATAAACTATCTTGACTGATGGACTGGGAACATGCTTCAAATAAGGTTTTGTTTCAGGTCCCTGCATTAACATGTGATCCTGCAGCTGAGTGATTGGCTATGCCTGTTGAAAGACCAAAAAATAGGATGCATGGGTGTTTTGATGCTTTCTACTGGACAGTCATAGTTCTTCATCAGCACAAATTTGTCCTGCTGAAGTAGCCTTGAACAAAATACTGCACTGCACTGCGTCACAGCAGTGCTACTCTGTTGTTGAACATGACCTTTGACCTTCCTTTTGGGAGAGAATTCATAATCTTTAGTCTAAACAGAAATAGAGTATAATGGAGAATGTTAGGTAAGAATTAAAAAAAAAAAGAAGTTTGCCCTGCGAGAAATTGCACCAGTGAATATGGACCAGCAGGACAATGGCACTGCAGTGTATTAGCCAGGTCTTTTCTGGCATGTATTAAGCCATGATGTGTTTTCACAGCTGCTCTCGTCTGAAAGACTAGAAGTGATTTTGCAGAAGCGGGGAAAGAGCAAGGAGGAATGTGAAGCTGCGTTCCTCAGGAGCTGTGGACCAGTTATCTGCACTGCCTCAGTTCCCCATGGACCACTGATCAAAGACAGGGAGGGATATGATGGCCACCTCCTCATTCTCTACCTCCTCCCTTTTTCTTTGTCTCCCCTCTTTCTGTCTCACTCACCCCACTCCTGCCTTTTCCTTCGCTTACTCTCTCTATCATCCCCTCTGTTGCTCTCTGGCATTCTTTCCATCTCTTCGCTCTTTCATCCCTTTAACTGATTTACGAGGGGGGTGCTGCTGGTGACTGATGTGGGCAGATGAATGTTCCTCCTTTTGCCACTACACTGATCAGACGTGCTTTGTTTATATGTCACTGAATTTTAATTCAAGCTCTTTAAAGTGGTCTATCCATGTGGAATTGTTGCAGTGCCTCACTTAACATGTTGAATTTTTTTCGCACATCCAGTAGGCTTTAATTTGCCTCACTTCAAAACCAACATGTGACATGATGACAAAGTAAGAAGAAATCAACAAAAAATTCAGACAAATACATATAGGCTATATACAAACATGTTGTAGAATCCATTCATCTACATTTTTTTATTTTTTATTTCTTCTTTCTTCTTACTATATAAATATATATACACATCTGTGGAGATCTGCTTTTGTCTAGTTATTATCTACAACTTAATGAGAATGTGGAGATGCTGTGTCCCTGCTGTTGCATTGTGTTTGCTGGACTGAGCACTGGCCAGATTTAGAGCAGCAGGGTGACTGAGCCAGAGCAGCACTCCCGCTGTGTATTACACGCAACCATGCCAGTATCTAATTTGGATGCACCCAGGTCAGCATCGTTTTCCCAGCCAGCAAGCGAGTCAGCCAGCCAAGCAACTAAACAGCCAAATGGAGATTTATTATTTCTTTCTGAGTACATTTTGAGGTCACTAATAACTGTAATGCAATGCAGATTTGTTATAAAAGATTCCACTTATATATTCACATGAAAAATATAAATGTCTGGTATATGCCACAGCCATGCAGACACATGCATGATTACGCATGTGCACGTATACACGCAGTCATTTGTGGGTGTGTAACTGCTATGTATGTGCGTGTCTCTTTCATGTAGTGCACAGCCTTGGATGTGATAATTTAATGTCCCCTCCCAACCGAGACTGACAGCCTTGGCGAGGAGCCTCATTCATCTGTGCTGATGCTGAAATGCACAAATCACATCTGAGAGGATCAGGACGAACAGTGAAATGAAGGGTTCATGTGATAAATGGAAGTGTCAAAGTCTCAATGCAGAAAGGGCCACTAGGATCACCCTCAAGGATTTAAGTGGAGGGCTACTTGATAGACTGTACATCTGGCACATTTTCATCTGCTGGGAACAAGTCATGGAGATGGATATTTTCTAAAATCACACTCCAGTGCCCCCAAAATAGTTTTCTTGCTGGAAGTTGCATGAGAAGATCGATTCCACTTTCATGGCTGTGTGTTACAAGTTCACAGATTAACTTAGTACACATCGTTTGCTTTGTTTAGATCGTTAGTAACTGTTTTTGTGCTAAGATAAGCTAACTAGCTGCTGGCTGAGTGGATATTTTCATTAATTTTCATCTAACACTCGGCAAAAAAGCAAACAGGAACTATTATGCCAGGCATGAAGGTGCATGGGTGTTCTTTCCATTTATATATTCTCATGCTGTAAGGTGACATTTCTATTTATTATAATTGTAACTGATGTACATTTATGGATAATAGAGTAAAGGTTTCAAAGTAGGATTTAGAAATTTAAATTAGGCTTTGAGGTCAGCACAGGATGGCTCCAAATGAATCTACATCAAATGTACATCTCACATCTTGTAAATCATTTCCTAGACTGCATTCAATATATCACTGAGATCATAGACTTGACAAATTAACCTAAATCTATGGCTGGAATATTCAATTTACAGGCTAAATTATTCAGTGCCATTAAAGCTAAAAAAGCTATTATGTTCAAAGGTAGCTTTTCAAAGATACCTCTTGTGTCAAAAAATCTCATTGCCTCCTTTAAAATTTCATGGTGAATATCAGCCTGTTGATATTGTTGATATAATGTCTGCAAAAATGCCAGTAGAGATAAAGACACAATTTGGTTAAGGTTAAGGTTAACTCCACTGGATAATGAAAGTCTACTTCTGCTTTTAGCAGTTATTTCTGTGATGTGCTTCAGTCATAAGGGCCTGCCACACAAATTTGAATGGTAGACATAAAATGCTCTCACTCTCTCGTGACCCTGTTTAAATTCAGAGTGAATTACTATGCTCTATAAAAGACTAATATTCTATTCTCTCTTTGCAATGAACAGCAGACAACCTTTGGCAGAAAGTGATACATATTTTGTATTTGTACCCATTAATTTTGTTAAATTATTGACTATTTGCATTTTCTTGTTTCATCTGTGTAATAATGAATTTGAGTATAAACCATTCAAAAGGCAAAGTACATCAATCAATCTATCAGTCAATAAAGGCGGTAAATGCATAGAAAAGCTACAATTTTCATCTTTCATGTGTGGCTGACCCAAACTGTTAGAAATGGTGCAAAAGGTCATATTAATATATCATGGCTATCATCACATTCCTCATTCCTCTTTTGTCTTTGTCTTCTTCTTCCTCTTTCTCTTTCAGTTTGTGTTTATGTGTTAGAAATAGAGGATTGTCACTAAATCAGGAGAACAGAGAAAAATGTGTGTGTAAGTGCATTTGTGCATGAGCACAGTATGCTCACCACCTTGTGTGCACGGCAATGTGTGTGTGCTGGAACATCTCAATCACAGAGCAGAGATCAGCTTCAATTACACATGCAATAACTTTTAGGTCTCACTAGGCCTAGAAGCCATTTATATGCTAATAAGTATGACAGCAGTAATGACTTGCAATAAAAAAGACATCTGCTGCTTGATCAAATCTGATATTAGAGCATTACTACAATCAGTCTTTGCTATTTGTCCTGAAACTGCTTGTTAGCCTCGAAACTCCTTGTGGGAAGTGTTTTGGCATCTAGTATTGGTGATGTAATAACCCTTCTCCTGGCCGTTTCTTGTCTCTCCGCGATGCGTAATAGTGTTGTATTTGTGTTTTACCGTAGTACTCCTGAGAGAAATTGAAAGTAGACACATTTTTCTATGGAATTAAGTCAAATCAGTCTCAACTTTATTGACCAAAATCACAATAGAGGGTTCAAATCTGTGCTATAGACTGTATAACACCCTGCATCCTCAGGCTCAGAGCCTCATTTTGGACAGGAAAAACTATTAACCTTTATTTACCTTTACTTACTATACACACCTTTTCCTATCCCGGCTAACACACTAAGTTTAGTATACCTGTTAAACATCAGCATCTTAGCAATGTTATGTTGAACACATTCGGTAGCCAA